TGGTAGAGTGTGCCTTCTCTTCCATAACTTCTAACTGCGAGTCAGTCGGTCCGTCTCCTGACTCCGAAGTAGTACTCTTTGGAGCCAACGGACGCCATATCTGCTGTTGTTTTAACAGAGCCTTCATCTTAATTTGCCATAGCCCGAAACTATTTTTCCCGGTAAACTTCTCAATTCTTATTGTTGAATCTCCTGCCATTGTTATCTTCAAGAAACTCTCCAAGGATTGAACCTGAGCTCTGATACCAATTGTTGTGCGACAGCGGAAGCAAAGGTCGAAAACAAACAAGAAAACAATAAAGAAATTCAATGCAAACAATAAGAACAACACCAAGAATTTACGTGGTTCACTATCGATGTGATAGCTACGTCCACGGGCACCGAGATCGAATGATTTCACTATAAACTGCAAAGATTACAAAGATGATTCTTGTATTTCTCAAGAACGGCTCTCACTCTGTCTCTCTTAACCCTAATACTAATATTAGGGAGGTTTTATATTAATCCCTAAAATAAAAGATACTTGGGCAAAAAGATAACATAAAAGATAACTTTAAATCGTAAAATCCGCGTCTCCGCATTTTTCCTTCTCCGCCCGGTCAGACCGGGCAAGGTCTGCCCGATCGGGCGCGAGAAGAAAACTCCATACGAATGCTTCAACGTATCCAACCCCCACCGCCCGGTCAGACCGGGCAAGGTCTGCCCGATCGGGCGAAGGCTCGCCCGGTCGGGCGAAGGCTCGCCCGGTCGGGCGCGAGAGCAGCTTCTTCAACGAATTTGCCAGGCACCTCTTCTTCTTCCGCCCGGTCAGACCGGGCAATGTCCGCCCGATCGGGCGGACAAAGCTACGAAGTACGAGTCACCTAATATACTTATCAACATTTACAATAATATTATTAGTGTACATCAAACGCATAATTAGGGTAATTTATAGCCAATTTAGAGTAACTTTTTGTTTTTTGGTGGTAGCATTAAACATAATACTTCGTATGATTTTAATGTAAATAAATGATTAAATTTTATAAGGATAATATAATTACTTCAATCACTAAGATTATTTTATTTTCATTCAATTAAAATTGTTATTTAACTAATGAAGCATAGATAACTTTAATTCATATGTATTTTCGATAGCTTTTATTCATTTTAAGGGTAATTGTTGATCATTTTAAGACAATTTTACAACATATGTACAATAGTTGTTGTACACTCGCTTTTTTAAAAAATATGTGATTTTTTTTTAAAGAGAACTTGAATATTTAGATATAGTGGGCAAAAAATTTATATAGGAAGTATATAATTTCAAATGTGTACATTTTAGGTAAATATGTTGGGAGACAGGTTGTCAAATTCATGTGGAAATATAATACAAGCATTTTAAACTATTCTCACGACTAAATTTAGTCAGCAAAATCAACCAATATACCAAACAAAATTACAAATCATAAGAAGCCAAGTTTTTCTTGTTATAAAAATCAAACATATTACAAATTGCAACCTTAAATTACGAATAATATCAAGTTGCAATACATACATATAAAATGATCATGATTTAAGCTATTGTCTTTTAGCTTATTATGTTACGATTATTAACATTACTATCACAATTACTGGATGAACAGTCGTTCTCTAAGAAGCTACTAGGAGAAGTAGATTTGGGCGATAATGTTCTTAATATTAACTGGTTAAAATCTTCAAAATATTACAAAAAATAAATTTTTATGATATTTTAAGAACTTTAGGGTGAAAAGAACGAAGAAAAATAGAATAAAAATGATCAAACAAAAAGTTTGGATAAAGAAAAGTGGTAAGGGCAATTAGTAGAAAGGGTGACAACTAAAAGCAACTTGCTTGAATTTTGATTGGATGAACCCCATGATAAGGTCGGTGAAGAATATTTTCTAATAATTTTCCATAACAATATAGTGGCTTGATCTCCTACAAAAAAATTTGTGGCTTGGACAAATGATATTCGAAATTTTCTTACTAATAGTGCAAGGTATATTTTGATGCAGATATAACATAAAATTAAGATATTTCATGCATCTTTTTTCAGTGCACCATAAATTATCAAAATAGGATTCAGATTTAATTTATTCTTATCCATTGTAGTTATCAAAAACATTGATGCTTACAAGTGTGAAATATCTTTATTATTTCATTTATTTGTATATACTTTGTCATAAAATTCATAACTTAGATTATTAAACTAAAATACCCAAAAGTTACGCTATAAATATAGAGTACATATTTGAAATAAAAATTACTTCTAATATACAAATGAAGTTATATTTTGTAGAATTCTATAGTTTGGAAAGGAAATTATAATATAGAAAAGAATAGATACATACTTCAATTTAGATGCACTTGACCCCAACTTCAAGTAGAAAAGAATAGAGGAATCTTTTATCAAGTTCCTACAAAGAGTTGTGCTGTGCCTAGTTGCCTACCTACATAACCAGACACAACAAGCTAAGACCAAAAGCAACAAATCTTTTCATTCAGCTAGCCTACATAAATTGAGGAAATCTTTGTCCAAATAAAGCTATCTTGAATATAAAAACTTATCACACTTATAATTAAATGTAGGAAGAATTATCTCTTTATTCTATTTTGTAAACCACGGAGTAATATTTTTAGTAATTGAATTTATGTTACAGTAGATATGTTTTTTTTTAAAAAAAATAAAAAAGAAAAAGAAAGAAAGATCCCGGCCCCGTAAAACAATTATTAGAACGGCGGACAAAAATACTCTTTCAAATTAATTGTAAAACTTTGAGATTTAAACGAGTACCACTTACAAATCTAATTTTGATTCTCTTTTAAATTAGTACATTTAAACAAATTTACAAATTTAACATGTTGAATTTATCATAATGTATAATTCTAAAATTTAATTTTACAACAAATACTTTATAATGTTAATGGTGAAAGACTCAAAGTTAAGTTATACCAATAAAAAACTGACCAGTTCAAGTTTTGTATGCAAACAATTGAATCGGCAAACGAAAACAAAAACTTAATGCAGCAAATAAAAAGTTTCGACGTTTATGCATGCCCTAGGATGCACTTTCCACATAATATTGTAGCCTCTAAGCAAGTAAACATGATAAGCTTTTAAGATTATTTTAGCTTTGTAAATTTTCTTGCACAACCTTTAATTAAAGATTTAAGAGGAAACAAAATGTTTGGATAAGGTAACATGTGACATTAAACCGACCATTTCACACTTTTTTACGTTTGCCTTATATAAATCTAATCTAGTTTATCTAAATTTTTCTTCTCAAAAATTGTATTTATCCAAAATTTAGACTAAAGTAGTTAAATACTCTTTTTGGTAGTTAAGTATTATGGATGATACATTATTGTACCATATTTTTTCAAGTCAAATCACAATATTTTGCTTTGTTGTATGCAATCAATAAAATTGGTCCAGCAAATTTATTCTAGTACTAGTTATTGAGATGATTTTACAGCGGTTGTTTGAAATATGACTACTATATTATTTTAATGATAAATAATATGATTGGTTCATTTTTTCAAACTATAATATGGACACAATTAGTCTTCTAATATCTACAATTCAAATATAATTTTTGAAAATTTTCATCCAACATAAAATAAATATTTTTCGAGAAACTATAAAATAAGAATAAAAATTACATAAATGAAATCAAAAGTTTGATAAATAAAAAATATTGATAATACTATTTTATACACAAATAAAATAATATAATTTATAATTTTGAGAAAAATATGTCAAATATGAGCTTCATAATCACTAAAACATTGTGATAGTCATATTTCAAACGACTAATATAAAATTTTCATATTGGATTAACTTAACTACAACGACACCACTACAAGTCTAAAACTCAAGTTACTACTATTAAAAATCAAAATATTACTATAATAATAGAGTAATAATAATAAAAAAAAATTATAAATCTCTAGGACATTTCAACTAACCCAATTAATATAAAATAAATTTTGATCAAGACTCAAAATTACTGTGATTGGTTTTGCGTCCCATGATGAAAATGACAAGGGAAACATACATTTTTGAATAAATGACTTATCTTCATGTAAAATGTTGGGCCCTTTGCAGATTTTTCTGTTGTCGACGTCTATCCTAAATCCTAATGACCGAATGACAATATTAAAAACATAGATTAAGACTTCATGAAAAATCGGACAACGCATATGCAATATTAAAAACATGGATCAAGACTTCATGACAATCGAATAAAAACATGGGTCAAGACTTCATGAAAATCAGACAAAATATATTAGACTTGAGAATTCAACTGTCTGTTAGAGATTAGACCGGATATTGTGAAAGTAACATAAAATAACAAGGTAGCAGTCGTAGCACAGACATTGTTAGAAAATGGCATTTTAAGTGTCCAATACTCACACACCCAACATACATTCTATACCACTTATATACATTCGAGTTAACATCTCTTTCCTTTTCTGATTTGTACCTATACCTGTATCTGTATCTATCTTTGAGCAAAAAACACGAATAAATTTGATGAATTAATCAACAAGGCCTATAGTCCACAAGTGTCCTTAAATTTCGACGGTGGAGGTCAAGCAAAATACTGACCACATTTGTGCAAATTGTCCCACGAAGTAGATTTGCTTGTATGCTTTCATTTCCATACAGTAGTAATGAGCAATTGATCACCCCACCCCCTCTCGGCCCCTCCCTTGTCCCACCCCAGGCCAACCCGGCGAACCCACACTAACTAGAAGGTTATACAATGTGTGGCTAGCACCTATTTGACTACTATTCGTCCCCCAAACCGGACACGTACAATGTAAAGCACAGCTACCGGTTCCCCTGACTGTTTTTTGCTCTTTTCTTGAAGCTATTTCCCTAAGGTGCAGTACATTTTAAAGGAATCAATGTCATGAAACTATGAAAGTGATCATTTTGATGAGCATATCTCATGCATGGTAATATCATTAAGAGGTAGTCAATGGGCTTAGTCGACCTAGTCTAATCCAGACCACCTGCTAACTGGGCTCACTGAGACCCATTATGATTTTACCCGGACATAATCTCGGATATAGCAGTCCACCTAGGTAATTTGTGGGTTGAACTTGACCCACCAGTTCAGCAGCTTTTGCAACTTTTTTTGAAAAACTACCAAGTACCAATCCTGAGTTTACAATGAATTATCCAAATAGTGAGCCAAATGCTGAGCATCTATTTCTTAGTTGAATGAGGTCCATCATCAACTGTTGCAATTTTAACTTCTAATCAACAAAACCCTTTGAATCCGACTATACAATATCATATTTGCCCAAAAAATTAACTAATACCACTGCTTTCTTGTTTATTTTCATATTAAACATTAAAAAACAATATCCCACTATCAGGAGACACGACGCTTTTACTTGGGGAGGACTAAGATTGACCAAAGAAATTCAGTAGGAGTTAAGGGAAGCACTTATATCATCACCACAGGTATTATACATATAGTCGAAAAAGACTGCATGAAAGCTCGTAAGAAAATACCTGAATTTTGTCAAGTGAATATTAAACAGCAAGGTGAGTAGTGACAAATGAAGCTGAACAAATGCATTCATGACCCACGGTGCCATCTGAACAAAGCACTGCCAGCAAAATCTGGAAAAAAAAAAAAAAAAAACTGCATTTTCCTCTTCTCTGAAAACAACTCCGGTCCTATGAAACTATGATAATGTCTGAGAAGTCAGTAAAAGGATGAACCATAGACATGAAAGGAACAAATATAGCCTGAAAACAGTTATACATTAATGTAGAGAAACGGTATCAGGATCTATACATGCATTTGCTAAATTGCATCAAAAGCAATCGTCAAGATGCAAGTGACACGTCAAATCTAATGGCCCTCTGTTAGCTGCTCTCCGATCTCTAAATGTTAAAGTTGATGAGACAATACAACTAAAATCAACCTTATGTACACACTTTGTGACTTATACAGACATTTTGACTAAGATGATGCTTGTATCACTTCACCTGTTTCATCACATGCAATGGGAAGATGTATACTGAGGTCATCCAAATTGGGGTTCCCTACAATAGTCAGTCCATGTTCATTTGCAAGATGCAAAAGGCAGATGAAACATAGATGAGGGGAAATATCATTGGTTGAAGCAGCTTTGCATTCATCAGGAAAAGCGGTTAATACATGTCTGAAAGATACAGCATCTCCACGCACCTCCTGCCAAAAAAAAAAAAAAAAAAAAAAAAAAAAAACATATTATCAAGATGCTGAAATGAAAGCAAAATCTACTGTTGCCGTGGCTGAAAAGATGATGCATGGCAACTACGGATAATAAAGGACTCAATGCATCTATAAATAAGTAATGCTTGAAATATCATTAAACTAGTACAGTATATTAAAATTCCATGTGATGATTTCCTAGGATAGATGAGAAATGGTGTCCAACAGATTATTAGGGGTAAATACAGTTAGTAGCGCATCTAAGCTCAATTTGAAGGAAGTCATGTGTGATTAATCCTATACAATCAGCCATAAATAGCAGCCATAGAACATATATAAAAAAACGTTCAAATCCATTGCAGCTTAAGAGTATGTGTTTAACTTCTCATCATTAAAATTGATGCTGCCATGGAATTATAATAACTTTTTTAAAAAAGGAAAAGCTGAACAAGCATAACACTAGCTAAATGAATCAGTTATTCAACAAACTGAAGCGACATTTTTCTTTAAAGGATTGGAAACTGCAACCACTACATTTGCAACAAATATGGTATCTTTACACTCAATCAAAATAAATTCAATTAGTGCATTAAATCCCCTATAATCTTGAAGAATGACGGAAACCAAACCAGGATGGCAGGACGGTTCAATTAAAATTCACATTTTCATTACAGTAAATCCAAGGGACATTTGCTGAACATAAACAACTAATACTTATTCTCATAAGCATGACATAAAGCATGTCAATCAGATGTCATCACGTATTTAAAGCATGACATTTTTACCATAACTAATAATCCAGTTTCATGTTTTATTGCGTTACACCATCTACTGGTTAATAGATGCTAAAAGCCAGCAAATACTGTTTGATTGACATTTACACTTTCACTAGAACGTAGAAACCATACATAATTTCAAGTTTATGAACATGGAATGAACTCCACAGGACATGCTTAAGCCAAAGTTGAAGTAAAAAGGAATGTCAAATGGAGTTAGTACTTGGACAATGCAAACTCTCCTACATTTTCGTTGTATTACCATGGAAAAAAATTCTCTATGACCCTATCACACAATATATTCTGTATCATTAAAAAGCCAAACAAAGATCTAAAACCCGCAAATCATATTCAGGGGTCATGGAGGAGAAAAATAAACATCATAAAGACCAAATTTACGCTGGATAAAAACAATCATGTCTCTAACATAGGGTACCAAACATCCAAGTAAATTCTCATAGATCAGTACTCACCACTTCAGGAGTCTGAATAGATTCTTGCACAAGGGTCCAAAGTGTCTCCTTCAGCAAATGCACATCAACTTGTTTTGAAGTTGTGTCATATTCGACTTCAATTTTATCAACCTAATTCATTACTCGTTAGGACAGCAAAAATTAGGAACTCCAAAAGATTCAACATCCCAAGCAGATACCAAGTCGTAATTTATATTAAACACTTAAAGATACAACTAACCAACAACTTTCAAGTTTCAAATACATTGCAATTGATCGCACCGAAAGGCATATATGCCTAACTGAGCTAAGGCAGCACAAAATGAAAAGAGAAGCACCATCGTACCTTGCGAGGTTCAGAAACAAAGGTGTCATCTTCTACATCTCTGTAATGAATGAAGGCATAAAAAAATCAAGCATAAAAAAATTATCAGTGCAAGGTCATCAAATCATAATGCTTTTCTAGGACTACAACCAAGTGTAATGAATGAAGGCAGCCCTCCAGATGGATTATTGATTACCTACAAGAGGAGGCGGCACTAGAATCATTAAGGTGAGCTGTAGTAAAGCACAGAGCAGCAGTCATCAGGGGGAAAAAGGACAAGAGATCACAATTGGACAGCAAGGAGTAGGATCCTTTTGGAAGCTTTTGGAATTGGTGGGTTATGTAAAAATAAAAAGGGCAAGGGTAGCAAGAATATGCAGCTTGTGTATTGTAGAGCGTGATAACCTAAAGTATACTGTTTGAGATTGGTGGCCTCAAGCCATTGTTGTAATAATTTCCATTTGTCAGCAACCTTTTTTATTCTCTAAAACATCTTTTTATAATTTTTGCTCAGCAAAGAGTTAACAATAGTAGTAGTTCGTTACACCAAGATCATTTGAGATTAGCCAATTGATAATATATGAACTTTCTCAACTCAGTCAAGCATCAAGCAGACAAATCAAATGGTAAGGTCTCTAGGAAAATTTTCATACCTGTAACCCTTCTTCTAATTTTCCCAAGGCACTGCAACAGATGGACAACAATGAGCTTTCCTTTGATAAAAAATGAGCTATTACACAATGCACTAAGATTTAAATTACCCACGCTTAAGGAAATGAATATGTTTTTTATGCATACAAGACGATGACTGAACTGGAGTCATTATTTAAATACTTTTTTTTCTTTCCAATTAAAATGATGCAAACTAAAACCTCGATTTCCATTACAAGTTCATTTTAAATATGGATTAATTAAAGATTAATATTTAGTTTCAGAAGAGGGGGGGGGGCAGGGTAGATACAGTGGCCTAACTTAAATTACCATGACATTAGGAAGAAGAAATAATTTCACGAGATCCTCCGGTTGATAATGGCAATCCTCTGGAAGTTTGTTTGAACAGGAAACTTTGTTACTTGGAAGAAGCAAAGACTTGGGATTTTTCACAGGAACACATAGATCAGGCACTTCCTCGTCCAAACTTCTAGTGAAGTCAATATCTGATTCCAATAAACTTTTGCGTTTTGGTCGCTTAGCAGCACTATTTGGCCGGCTGTCATGAACTGAAAAACTCTCTTACAAATTTTTTCAGAGATGAATGTTCAATTGTTTGTGAAAAAAAAAAAAAAACAAAACAAAACAAAATTGTCATCCAGCAGCCATATCAAAATTCAAATCTAACCATCAGGTTTTGAATATGTCCAGTGATCAGGTCCAGCCCATGCATTACGTGCTGATTTACATCTCAGTCCTTTGAAAAAAAGCCATGCAACATTCTCAATGTTGTCTTTTACAACAGGTTCATCAAGCACTAAATGCACTGGTTCCTAGGAATATAAAAAAGAACCAAACAAAATTAGTCTTATTCCATTTCAATGAATTAGCTATTGACAAACATGAGTTTGATTATTGAAGCATGATATATATGACACAGATACTTTAGAATGCAAATAAACGGTCTAAATTTAGAATGATAAATCATACTTCATTATAGTCTTCAGAAACATCTGTTTCATGATAGCGATTTGCAGACCATGTCCCAGAGTCATCACAAGAATCGCCATCGAACATAACCTCTATATCCTCAGTTGCATCACTGGTGCCAAAACATTCCTTTTCCACATTGAAATCAGCTTTATCTGAATCAATAACATTCCCATCGCCAATGGGCTCAGCGCCATCAAATGTCGTTAATGGCAAGTCAAGCTGCTTCATTAAAACTCCAAGGCTAGGAGATACATCTTGCTTCTGATGCAAGTTTGCCGCCATTAGCTCAATACAATCTGTGAAAGGAAGAAAATAATATAATAACCTGCTGGACATGTAAGAAGGAACTCCATCAAAGTTCTTAAACTGACCTTTAGCAAAAGAGACATCAACCAGATCAGTAGTACTATCATTTGTGGGTGATATGCACCTTGCTGGGAATTCTTGGGAATCGAACAGTACCCTGCACCCTCCATACACTCCAAGATTACATAGAAGGAGACCCTTTGCCCCACCTTCATCAAACTGTGCAGACGTCTGATAATACAGAGGATCCACTGCAAAAGAAACTGAGGGACCAGAGTAGCATAAATGCTCAAAGTTGGAAAGAGAGAGTACATGTATATAAGCGTGTATAGTAGTTAGAGAAAGAAATAAACCCCACATTACCATCAAGCTTCTTAGAATTCAAAGTTTCAAAGGATGATTCCACTGTTGACAAAGGTGAAACCTGTATGAATTCATAAATAAACATTTTATAAGAATATACCAGGAAATTATATCTGTAAGTTGAACCCATAATCATGGAGATATGAAAAAGGAGTGCACAACCTTTCTCTCAACTTCTTTTACAGGAGGCCTGCCTTCCTCTCTCTTTTTGCTGATTATATCTCCTCTAATTAGAGTTTCTGCCAACATATACAAAATCAGGAAGCTGACCGGAGAACATGTATTGCGCCTTCAGCTAGCATTATAGTTAAAACTTAACCAGTAGCATATAACTTCCCTTCAATTTGTCTACTCAGCATCTGGTAAAACTTTTTACCAATAGATCAGGCTTTTCTGGAAACTTTAAGTAGGTCATCACATATACTAATGAGGTTATTCACTTGTGCCTATTTAGATTTTAGAGTCTAACATGATGCATGCTAATATTTGCCAAAAATGCATATGGACTAGCTTGTACTATACTACTATATTGTAAGTGGACACATAATAGCATGGCTCCCACCATTCATATCAGTGTCACCCTTATTATTAAATAAATATCGAACCTTCCTCATCTTCTAGACCAGTTGATCTGCTTATACCATTCAGGACTCTATAAGCATCAGCATGCCATGCATCCACCCTCACAGCATAAATCTTCACCCCAGTTTCCAGAGTGCAACTTGCCTACAGTAATCAGAAGTTCAAACCTCAAAATACTACATCAAAGCCAAAGCAAAAAATACATACATAACTTTAAATTTCTATTTATCACCAAGATGAGAAGATCATGATATTACTATTTGATTGATAAATTCGATTACGTGTACAGGAATTGTATGTGTTAAAGAGGACATCACATGTCAATGACATGACACAACCTATGGAACATGTATCAACAGATTACTTCATCTATGGAAAGTCATCTCCATTCTTATATCACTAGTATCATATGAGGAAAAAAATTGAGGTATTTTCTTCCATAGAAAATCTACTTCTATGTGATTTGCTTGACTTGTTTCATTCCTTCTTTGCACTTGTACATGAGATTAGGATTTCTAAATTATATAATAATAAATTAAAAAAAAAAAAGTCTACTTATCACAGCATAAAATTAAACTATTAAAGTTTGTTTCAAGTAGTTGTTTTATAAGTATATAGCACCGTGATACTATGCTACCATGTACAGCTTTATATCTACTTGTTTACAAAACTTATGGGAAATCCTTACCTACCTTTACCACCTTTGACCCCTTCTCTTATATATTGACGCAAAATTAATTAATGACAAAAATATTCCAATGGAAATGATCATAAATCAGAAATGAAAGAGAGATGTGAAGAAAAGGAGATGAGGCAGGTAAGGTGGAGTGGAAAATGCAACATTCCTACCTTCATCTAAAGAAAATAACTCTCTCATAAGAAAAAAAAAAATATACAAAGGATAATAGTAAGATCAAAGTTTTGTGGAAACAAATTTTACCCTAACCAAACATATTCTAAATTATATCCATATCTATCACTATATCCCTTTAAAATGTTTCTTGTTATACTAACATATATGAGGTGGTTAGCCAATAGAAGTTTCGACATATCAAAAAAAAAAATTGTTCCATTTTGCTTTGAAAAATATAATATCCTATGACTTAAGAAAGATACTCATAATATTACCTCCGCTTCATATTATTTCCAATAAAAAGGTATTATTTGTGAGATATAAAATATTCTCTTATTGCAAATGATATGAAACGGAGGTAGTAACTTAGCCACATGTTGGCTCCTAAAAGTCTTCAACAAATAAACAAAGTATCTATTTATCTTAGGGATATACAAAACAATCCATTACGAGGTTGGAAATAAATGAATTATTATTAATTGAATACAAATAAAACAATGACCAAATTGCATCCACAATTTTAATTAATTAATGCAACGAGTAACAAAGGACAATAATATAAAAGTGATTCCATATACAAGTAGTTGATTCTAATCTTAATACAATTATTTATTGCTTATAAAATGCCTTAAAAACACAAATATAGTCGGGATTCGATACTATTATATCCGCAAGATAAAGAAACATTGCCATACATACACACAGAAAGTCATAAAATTACTAGTGCAACCCAAAATACATATACGAATGAACAGACCACGTAAAAAGCTGTGAAACTTTGTTTGATTTCTATACTTAAAATTTGTTATATTCGAGCAATTCAACAAAATATAGCAATAAATCAGCATTTTACCTTCTGAAAATTAGTTTCAGCGTTGTTGTTTTCTGATTCAGCTTCAAATCCTTCAATAATCTCACTCAGATGATCAATCAACTTCAGCTCCCACGTATTTTTCTGATTAATTTTCTGCATTTTCCAAAAATAAAAGAATTCAAAGAACTTTCACATAATCTAAACAAAAAATAATACAAAAACACTAAAATTAAAATGGAAAATTGACAGGAAACGTTTTCACTGGCAAGCTTAACGCAATTATGGAACAACTCCATAATTTGGCGGCGGTCAAGGCAAGAGTTAGAGAAGAGAGAATTTCGAGAAGGATGAACTTCGACGGGCTTCCGACGGAAGGCGGCGGCACGAGAGGCGCGTGCGGCGGCGCGTTCGCGTTGATCGTCGTTGCAGCCTAGGAAATACGGGCTTGTAGGAGCAGGCAGTGGTGATTTAAGGTTCGGATTCGAAATTGAATTGGGGGTTAGGGTTTCCGCCATTGTTATACACCTTCAGAGGAGAGAGAAAGAGGAGTGAGAGGAAGTGAAAATGGTGTGGATTTTGATGGGATGATCAAATGAACTCTGTAAATACGAAGTAGAATATAAAACGGTGTCGTATTCTGTGTTTTTGGCGGGAAAGAGAAACTTGTTACATACGGTTTTTAGGAAAACCAGAAACTATTTTTAAAAATTAAATAAAAAGACGTTACAAAGGTCAATATTCAACTTTCCACGTCCCAGTATAGTCAAATTAGTCAAACAGCTACTCCGGTATTCATAATTTTTTTTCACCCCCTTCTATTCAATAAGCAAAAATTAATGTGTAAATTAAGCGGGTGTACTGTATGTACACCTGAGTGTATATAATAAATTTTATTTTTATTGAATATTTTTATTTACATGATTTTCATTTGATTGTAGACGCGAGTGTATATTTAAATACATATTGATCTAACGTACAAATTAATTGAAAAATAGTTGCAGCTTATGTATTACCAATTGAATTTTTTTTTTTCCATTAGTAATTTTATGATTAGGGGATTTTGTTTATTAGAACAACAATTTAAGGGAAAAATTTAATAGTAAAATGTACTCTGAATTACTTTAAAATAAATAGGTCATGTAACAAGTTTACAAAGAAATACTTGAACAACTAAATACTTATATATGTTTATCAAAAGTAAATGTATTGACAATACATAATATAGTTACTGGATCAACTAAGTAGTAATTAATAGTCTAAACTTGATTATTAATTAGCGATGCCTTGAACAATTTGCTTGATTAGTCCCTTGGCCATGACTCTGTAGGCATGTTGAGTCATATGAACTCCATCCCAACTAATTAGCTTAGATGGATCTCGACATACTGGAACTCCGTTATTTCCACACATTCGAGTGATGTTAAAATTGTATTCATTGTCACCTATTCCACAACAAGTCTTTTGTACTTCGTCCTTCTCAAGCCCTGCATATCGATAATTATATGTATTAGTTTTGTTAAAGGACCAACTTAACCAAAAGCTTAAACTGATGGTTAAGACACAGGAATATGTTTTATACTCTATCAAGTTCTATTACTTTATTACTTCAAACAAAAGGCTAAACAATTAATTTCAAGATCAATAATATTAGATAATTACTAACCATTTGAAGTAGCATTTTGTAGGAGTCCCTTCAATGCGTTGAAATAATCAGCATACACAATTGCAACGTTCGGATGTTGTGTTTGAAGCTCCTTAATAGCTACTTTTAATCGATCGTTTTGAAACATTGCGAATCCATTCAAACCCTTTAAACAATGGAGATCATCGTACATATTTGAGTCATTCGTCTTGAAATTGCTTAGATAAATAGGCATGCATCCGATCGCAAAGTTACCGGGAACTACAACTTTGGTAGCACCCAAACCTATCACTTCCTGCAAATATAGTACGTTGTTACTTAATTAGTAATCGATAAATACAAAGTATATTATATAATGATTAATGAATAATTTAAAACTATAAATAATAGGTTAATTAGTAATTAAAATACCAACCTTCACGGCATTAGTAATGGCTTGAAGTACTTCATCCACCATTTGTTGCACTTCTTCCATTGTTTTACGTCCAAAAAATGTATAGTTAAAATCGTTGCCTCCGGTTTCAATGATAAACAATGCATTCGCGAGTTTGGCCTTACAATCTACATATATTTGAATAAAAAGAATTAGTTACTATTATCTTGATCGTCATTAATATCTTTAACTATTTAATACGGAGTAATAAAGACAATTTAAATTATACTCCGTATTAAAACACATCTAACAATATTTTAGATGGTTTAATTTATTTTCTATATTATTAGAACTATGTGGTATGTACAAATTTTATGTGTACACGTAGATATTTAATTAGGATGGGATTAGAAGTTTAATTTAATGACCTTTTGGATTAGGGCAAAGTGAATGAAGGTGAGACTTAAACCAGCCCATTTGAACGGATAATGAACTGTTGGTAACCGGCGATGTAATGTTTTTAGCAGCTAAGGTTGAAGTGTCAAGAGCCGTCGATCCCGCAACAGCAAAGTTCACACCATGAGCGAAGTTGCCATCTTTGTTAAGGTATGCATCAAGGAAGGGCAACTTAAAGTACCTTGCTGCAATTTACACAATAAAGAAAATTATTAGTGATACATTATTAATTAGTCGACTTACTGATTTATGTAACACATTTATAGATAATCAATATTCAATATGATCATATCAAAAAGCAATTTCAAAAGAGTACGGCTAAATATTACGAAGTAGTTCTTTTAGAGTTTTTTTTTTTAAAGTTAAAGAACTACTATCTTTGATCTTTAAAATTATATTGTTCTTCTATATTTATTTACTAATCGGTATTATTTATTTATTCAAAGATGTCATTGTTTAGTCTTTAACTCTTTATACATACTAGTGTCTTTTTGATAAATCTAAATCAACAATAATGTCTCCGTTTAGTCTTTATACATAGACCAATACTTTAATTTAATTTAAACAAACCTAGTTACTGTTAAAGATAGACTATACATGCACAAATCAAACCAAGTTATTTTGAATCAGAAAAAGTTTTTTTATTTTTAAAAAGACGGATATTAAACATTATACTACAAGGATAAAGATGATTAGTAAGAAATTAATTAATACGTACCAAAAAAATCGATCATGAGAAGACCATTGGAGCAACGGCCAGTAGGCTTATGGAAGAAAGTTTGTCCATAAGGTAGTCTTGCAAAGGGTGTATGTTCTCCGATGGGGGATTCACGTATCAAGTTACCGGTGTCCGATATCGAATCACCAAATTGATAGATCGCATCTACTTTCGGTATTTCTTGAGGCAGTGCATAGAGAGGGAGAGGAAAGGAAGAGCAAAGAGCGAGAACAACAAAGAACATTAGTTTCATGCTAGCCATAATTTTCTTGCTACTACGTATTTTTTCTTTTTTGGGTTGTGTTGTAATGAAATAAAGAGAAGAAAGTATGAATTTATAAGATTTAAGGGTAGAAAATAGATGTCCTAGTCGGTTTAGGTTTTACTAACTTGCAACCTAAGAAAAGTCGAAAAGCTATTGCTAGTATAGGATTAATGTTTCCTAAATTTGAGTATTGTACTAATTTTATAGATAATGTTTCCTAAATTTGCGTATTGTACTAATTTTATAGATTAGGATTATTTACTTATTTTCATAAAATATATCTTGAAATCTTGCAATAGATTTTCTATACGTTCAAATGTCTAATCATGTAGTGCTACCATATCTTAATATTAGGCCTAAATGCCAATTCTTAATACATACAAGGTATATCATTAATACAATTACGAAGTATATTTTATTAGATATGTATAATCCTTTTTTATGTAGGATATCATTAAGTTGTGTAAGAGCAATAAATATTATAAGAATAATCTCCACATATAAGAAACAACTAATTATTGGCTCGGGCGATGCCTTAGGTCATTATAAATTTGTATTTTTGATAAAAAAAATTAATTTAAAAGGTTAGTATTCAACAATCTTTATAAGTGAATACAAATAAAATACGGAGTAATAATTTATGTAAAAATTAAGGAGTATTTTGTATCTGGTATTGAATTCGTAGAAAATTAGTAGCATCCAAGGAATCAATGACCATTAGTATGTGATTAATATTTTAATGTACAATTATTTAGGAGTTACATTCTATGGGGAAATTAAGTACAACAATTATACATACAAAGAGTTTTAGGATAATAAATGATGACACATAAGGTGACACATATTGATTATGTGGCGCTAAGTCATATGGAAGGAATGGTGACAGATGGCAATAACATGTACCATTAAGTTTTAATAATATTATAGATTGCATACTTTGTGTAGTTTCTTTGCTAAGATTTATACCCAAATAGTTCAAAGAACACAAATAAAGTTGTTTAAAAAAACAAAGGTGATTTTCATTAAGGGCCTGTTCATATTTACTGAACCGAGCTGAACTGATTAGAGTTGAGCTGAACTGAACTGAGCTAAAATAAATATTTTATGAGAGAAGGAAATTAGGAGCTGAACTGAACTGAACTGAACTAATTGGAGCTGAACTAAACTGAAATTAAGTAAATATGAACAGACCCTAAGTTGGAGATTATAAAGAAACTACATAAAGTCGGATAGTCTTATACCCAAATAATTTAAAGAAGACAAATAAAATTAAGGTATTTAAATTAAAATATCACTTAACATTCTCTGATCCTTTCTTCAAAATTGCATGAAAAAAGGACACAAGATGAAAAAAAAAAACAGAGTAATACATACTTTTATGAATTACTCCCTCCGTTTTTAAATACTTGCTCCATTTCTCCATGCGCGGAATTTTAGGAGAAATTGGAGAAAATAATAAAATATGGAGGTAGTGGGGTAGTTGGGAAAATAAAAAATAGTAAAAAACAAAAGTAGTGGAAGAATAGGAGAAGAGAGAGTTTTATGTTGGGCACACTAGGTGTGAGTAACAAAAAGACTTGCGTGGACCTAGTCCACAATAATATTATTGTGGACCCGAGGTCTATACACACGCAACTGACATTATATTGAACATAGTGACCATTATTTTTAACATGGTAACCTTTATTAAAACTACTACAACGTTTAATAATATTGTGAACTTGAAATATGACGCTATTATCCTAATTTTAACATAGTGGCCTTTATTATTCATATTGATCAGTATATAAAATATTTCATTACAAAAATAACCACTTAGGCATATATATTACCAAAATGATTTTTATTTCAATATAGTGACCTTTTTTTTAATTATAGTGACCCTTTTTTTTATTAATAAAACAATCATACATTCATACTTTCTCTAATGTTAGTGGTCCACAATAAATTAGTGTGAACCAGGTTCATTTAAGAATTTGTAGAGAAATGAATTAAATATTGTAAAAGCTTTCCAAAAAAAAGAAATGGAGCAAGTATTTAAAAACGGCCAGAAAAGGAAAGTGGAGCAAGTATTTAAAAACGGAGGAAGTATTTAATACGTTTATGGTGTTGATAACGCATTAATCAAGTATAGTACACAATGTAAAGCAGAGGTAGCGTATGTTGAATATAAGACTAGAGTACATTTTGCAGAAGCAGAACAGAATTTTATCATTACACCCATTATTCCCTTTTCCAAACGCACACATTGCTGTAATATGAACATACAAAGAAAATCGCTGATGTTTCAGCTATCTACAGTCTACAGATACATAATACACCACCATTTGCAGGCTTTGAGCTAGGTCACAACACCAACAGTCAAAAGAATTACAATGTCACTATACCTCATTAGATTCACACCACAGGTTTACTACATCTGGCCGTGGCTGCTGAGATCAAATCTTGCACTTGTTTCAAGCAGAAACTGATATACCAAAGACACCACAACCGGAATTCATCTGCTGCTATAATTATAATGTCTGCCAGTGACTATAGCGATGCCTGTTTGTGGCACGGCTATACACAGTACAAATAAAATTATCACACTGGTTAATAAGTACAAGGTCTGAAATGTTAAAACACCAACGTCTTCATAATGTATGCTTTGATTTCAGCAACATCAGCTACAACCTGCATTATTGAGATTAAGACATAAACGTATTAACAATATTGATATTTGCATATAGATTAAGCATCTATGTTTGCATAAAAAACCACAGTATTTTGACTGATCGAAAGGTTATGCTTTTTCTATGCTCAGACAATTTCTTTGTCTGCCCTCTTTACTTTGGCTGGCCGGTAGACAAGTGCTTGGCTGGTCAGGCCAGCTGTGAAGTACAAAAATGCATAATTGCGTATCCTAGGATGACAAAACCATGAAAATTACATGTTTCAAACAAGCTTTGATGTTGAGTTTCAGAAATTGATGAGATGGGACAAGGATATACTGCTTGTTTGAGCAAAGCAAGATAACCTACACTTACAAATTAACAAAATCCAACTTCACCCACAACAAATGTCAAAATTAGGCAAACATGTAGACAATATTAGCTAGGTGCCTAGGTGACAAAAACTATATAATGCGAGGCTTAAACTTTTACCTGTGTCCTAGGAAGAGACAGGAAGATGTATACTTAGGTCATCCATATTTGTGCAGCCTTCGATCCTCAACCCGTGCTCATTGGCCAGATGCAGAAGGCAGATAAAACATAGATGAGGGGATATGTCACGGGCTGCTGCTGCACCACAATCATCAGGGAAGGTGGCCAATACTTGGTTGAATGATATGGCCTCTTCATGATCATTCTGGCAATGTAGCACAGAAGAGACATCAAAATTTTAAAATCAAAGCAAATTCAAAACAGACCAATATACCTATCTTCCATCAAATTAAGAGCTGCAAGGCAAAATATGTTTGAACATTCCTCCAGAGTCCCCCCCACCCCCACAGTTCTCTCCTGGGACCTAAGTCACCTAAGCTTGCCAATTCATACACAGGATCTCTTCTAATTCAGAGTTTCAGACACATGACCACATTTCATTCTTATTCATCTCTATTTTTCCTTTAATATATTGAAAAAAAGGGGAAGGAGGTGGAAGGCAACAATAATTGTGTAATGTGGATATGTAATTTGTGTAAAGCTATACTACAACAAAAGCACGTGGTAGTAAAGGCCAATAATCCTTAGGATGAAGCTAAATAAGTGTACTCACCGTTTCAGGTGCTTGAACAAACCCACCTATGTGATCCCAAAGTGTCTCCTTCAGCAAATGTACATCAACTTGCTTTGCTGTTTTATCATACTGAACTTCGATTTTGTTAACCTAAATTTGGACATACCTGATTAGAGCATGCTTGTTGAATCAAATAGAAAGAAACTATTAGGTAATCATTCATGAGGCCATGAAATAAACCAATAGAGATGTCAACCCAAAGGAATTAGTATGAAATAGGTGACATAATAAGGAAAAAACAATTTCAACCCTAACTACTACTGTAGATAGTAGCAAAAACAATCAGACAAAAACAAGATGAACCACTTAGCGCAAGTACCAAGATAACATGGATATTTCTGGGACGCCGTCAGATTTTTTCCTCCATAAGATACACCTTAAAAGTGATAAGCCAAAAACAATGGCAGAAATTAAGCTCAGACAAACCTGGCGAGGTTGGGAGATCAGTATATCTTGTTCCTCTATGTCACTATGAGCATCATTATCTGGGCCACTATAAGCACTTTCATTGTCCCATGCAGCAAACGCTCCACTAAAACCACCTCCTTCTTCCCAGGACTCATTATCTTGAAAATTTATTAAAAGGAAAGACAAAAAAAAAAAAAAAACATGTTCAATAACGTTACGAAGTGTCAATACCTATAAATTATTTAGTTAAAACATCGTCACATGTCAACCTCACTGCTCATGCACTTTACAAAATGCCTTGATTCATGAAAACACAGAGGATTAAAAGTTAATTCAAAATGCCTTGATTCATGAAAAACACAGGACTAAGGGTCTGTTCTCATTGATTGAATTCAGCTGAACTGAACTGAACTAAACTGAACTGAAATGAATATTTTATAAGAGAAGGAAATTAGGAGCTGAACTGAACTGAACTGAGCTGAACTGAACTTAATTGAACTGAGCTAAACTGAACTGAACTGAACTGAATTTCAACGTAAGAGAACAAGCCCTAATAGTTAATTCAAGAATCACATTCTCATTAAAAGTGTGTAAGACTAGGACCCCTTAGAGATTCCAGAATTATATAGCTATATCTGTACAAATTTACCCATAAATTACACTGGAAATTTTCAACATTGTGAAGTGGGAAGTTGGATGGCAAAATTAAGTAGGTCCAGGGTAAGAAAGCACCCAAATCACTTATCTCTATCCATTCCTAAACTGTGAGAAAGATTGTCGTTCATCTTAGCAAGGTTTGGTTCACTATATCCAGAATGAGGAAAAAAAAAATACTGAGAGTTGTGTAGAGCTGGTGAAAACTGACTTAACAAGAGAGGAATAAACACAATAGAAACAGATGTGTTCAATGTTCTAAAATTCCATCTCTTTATTACATAATTATTCAAACGGAAAGAGTAAGAATCAGAAAAATGAGGTAAAACTTGTACTTAATTATGGCAACAGATTACTAATAATATGGAAGAAACAACCAAAAAGAGAAAATAGCAATTGTATGAATCAGCATAAAGATAACAGGAGGGATTCAAGGACATATGGACGATATGGTGCACTGAAGTGACAAAGGCGGAGAGGGAAATAGATGAGAAAAGGATAAGCTGAATATAATTTAATAGGTTATACCTGTCACTCTTCTTCGTCTTCTCTTCCCAAGGCACTGCAATACAAAAGAAATCAAAAGAGAAGAATCAACCTTAGAGGAGTTTCCACAAGCAGTAATTGGTTTCAGGTGTATATAATAGCCTATCAACATATATTAGGCTACTCAATTACAGCACCCATACACCGAAACATAGCCTACAGTTCTACACTTCAATGCTTCCAAAAGATTACAATTTACAACACAACCCCTACAGTCATAACTCAAAAGACAGAAGAGGAGACAGGACACAAAGAATTTCTCAAGGGAAATGCTTTAATTTGCTGAAAGTACATTTTAGTGCAGAAGTATGTCCCCTTCCTCCATTCAATAATGAAGCTAAAAGATTAGGCAATTAGCTGATTCCCTCTGTTAAGTCCATTATACAACAAACAAAATTTTAATAGGAAAAAAAGTATCCATAAATAGGGTCCCCAGGAATATTTGCAAATTCAACTCAAATGTATTCTAATTCAATACTGAACTGCATCAATATAATGCAAAAAGTTATTTTAAGCAGATGAACAGCAACCCAAGCTATCAGTTTAATTACCTGAGATAACAAGCTACTCATCCATTATATTTCCTAATCTGATGTACTAACACAAAATCACAAATAAAACACTTATTGAGCTGCTGTCAGGGCATATAACAGCAAAACTAATGCTCAAATATTACAACCACCTAAGAAACTGATTGGCTGAGAACCCAAATCCACCTTCTATTACGATTACAACTGATTGACAGCACTTCTAATGCTTAAATATTACAACCACTTTTCTTCAAATTCAATTCATTACATCAAACAAAAACAAATCAACAAAAATATAGAACAGCGTAACTGAGAGTCTGAGATTGCAAAACTTTTTACCTACTAAATCAAGCATAAGATGTCTATAGACTCCAAACTTGGCCTAATAACCCATATATTTTTATCATATTAAGTGAAAGCTTCCATAAGGTTTTTCTTTAATGGGAAAAAAAGCCAAAAAAAAAAAAGGAATAACAGCAACACTTTATCTAATAACAGGTAGTCAGGTACATATGTCACCAGAGCTCTTTCCATGACATCAGTTCAATTTTATGTCGCGTATTATAGTAGCTCCTGCATAGTTTATGAGTCTGTTCAATTATGTTGGATTCATTTGTATGTTTTTTTGAGGTCTTTTGTTTGGGGATAAGTTTGCAATTCTATCTTCATTGGTGTATATGCCTTTGTTCCCCTTCATACTACCTAACAGGATAGCTGAATTGAATGTATCCTTCTTAAACCCCACACCACCACCACCACCACAACAACAAAAAAGTAAAGAAAAAAATACATATATTACCATCACATTTGGAAGAAGAAACAATTTCACAAGATTCTCAGGATGGTAATGACAATCCTCTGGAAGTTTGTTGGAGCAAGGCACTTTTTTGGCAGGAAGCAGTAAAGATTTGGGATTTTTGGGAGGTGCAAAAATATCGGGCAAGTCTTCATCCAAAGTTTTTGTCAAATTGATATCTGCTTCTGAAGCTTTTTTTGTTTTCTGCCTCTTGGCTGCAGCAACCAATTCACTGTCTTGAGCAGTAACACTCTCCGTACCTGCAGCTAGAATCAAAGCCAAGTCAACTTCTGCAAAAACCACAGATTAATTAGGAAAGGTGGAAAAAAGTGAGCAGGGAGTTTCTCAACTGACTTTTAGACTTTCGGTACTTCCAATGGTCAGGTCCAGCCCATGCATTTTGAGTTGATGTAATTCCAGAAACCCCCAAAAGAAGGGAAGCAACATTGTCAAATCTGTCATAATCATCAAATTCGGTAGACATAGAAGCTTCTTGTTCCTACATTTCCAGATATTTCACTTTACAGCATTAATAAATTTAATGTATATTAGTCGACTTTTGTAAAATCAGAAATATCCAATACATTCTATGTTAAAGAAAAGGAACAAAATAAGCAATTACATCAAAACTCAAAAATCTGATATCAAGTTATCAACTAAGCGTGACAAAATACCTCATACTGATTATTCAAGTGCTGATCACTGATGTCAAAACATTCATCAGCATTGTATGCATCATCATTATTATCAAATGGGCATGCCTCAGCATGATCATATGAACCGTCATCTAGCTCACAGCCTTTATCATCATCTACTTCAGTAACGCTCGTAAACTCTGAACCCCCATTCAACTCAACTGTGACATCATCAGTTGCATCAACATCACATACAGAGTCCTGACTACTCTGGTATTGCCTTTGTTGCAAACTATTATCATCAAGCTGCTCCGCTATCGCATTAAAAGTAGGGCATATATCTTTCTTTGTGTTCATGTTTGTCACCATCTGGTCAATGCAATCTGCCAAAGAACAAGAGTAAAACATTAGGCCAACAGATGCAAACATAAACTGAATAACTTTCACCTGCTTACCGCCAACAAAAGAGATGTCAATAAGATTGGAAGAATTAGTATCATTAGTAGAAGAAATGCACTTTGCTGGGACTTCTTGTGAGTCAAAAAGTACTCGGCACCCTCCATAAATTCCAAGGTTGTTTAGAAGAAGACCCTTTGCCCCACCCTCATCAAATTGCGCAGTTGTCTGGTGATACAGAGGGTCCACAGCAAAAGAAACTAGAAAACAATAAAAAAAAGTGAATATCATAAAGCAAAGTGAGAGGAACACAAGCTTGAATAGACAAATGGGCATCTATGTCCATTACCATCAAGCTTCTTGACATTCAAAGCCTCAAAAGATGATTCCAGTGTTGACAGAGGTGATAACTGCAAGTGCATCCATTAGCATAAGAAAAAATAATAAACCCAACACCATTATGATGAAAAGGTAAGATAAACGTATTAGGAAAAAAAAAAAATCAACCTTCTTCTCTGACTCCTTTTTGGGCTGATCAACATCTTGCTCATTGCTTTCACTGTCTCCTGCTAAAGTTTCTGCCCAGCCACCAATATATCATATAACATCAGACCAAACAGCAAGAGAAAAATCAAATGTACAAGGAATGTTCAAGATGCTACCTTACAAAAGCAAACTGAAACACTTAAGGTCTTTAGCAAACAAGTGAACTAGAATTAAGGTGCCAGCAATTACCTCAGCACAATAAATCTTATCCTTATATAAGGAATCACATATGAGCAAACAATTCTACCACTAATACAGGCATACAAGGAAAATACTCAATTCTAATTTGACCACTTAAAAACCTTTGCTTCTCTTGCATAATAATTAATAAAAACAAACTTAGCAATGATGGCGCATTAAGTTTCACACATATGCCAAACCTTGTTGATCTTCAAGACCAGCTCTACTGATTCCACCAAGGACTTTATATGCTTCGGAATGTACAGAATCTACCCTCAGTGCGTATATCTTCACCCCAGCTTCCAGTGTGCAACTTGCCTGCGCAACAATGATAGAGATTTAGAGGTTGTGAAAGACACTTAAGGAAGACAAGTTTATACAATGTTTGGTAAACTCAATTGTTATCCCCAGAACTACTTAAATTAAGGAGAACTAGATAAATCATAATTGCTGATAAAGCTGATTCTCTGTGACTCAATGAATCCTTTGTTCTTATTACAGATAAGTAGAACCGCAAAGAAACCCATGTAGATAAAACGTCGGAAAAAAAGTACAAGTATACATACAATCATCAATAAACACAATCAAACATCCATCATCCATGATAATTCCAGAAGGATCAAAACAAAGCAATGGTATCTAAATGCTTGACATACATTCCAATGTCAAACACACATATTTCTCACTTGATTATCACAGAACATTATCTCATGCATAGCAAATGGCACTGTATACGAATTTGCAGAAATGCGTTGTAAGGTAGTGTCTTACTTTTTGAAAGTTGGTCTCAGCATCATCCTCATCTTCAACTTTGATAATCTCACTGAGATGATCGATAAGCTTCAGTTCCCAGGTATTCTTCTGATTGATTTTCTGTATTCCCAAAATAAAAATAACAATTCAATAAATAACATAGACCAACTTTGGGTAGTACAACGGAACGATCCACCAATTATCTCTCCAAAGAACCAAAATAGAACTCTAATTCAAACAAAATCATCAACTATCCTCACCCCCTTGACATACATAAAAGAGGGGGGGGGGGGCAAATAGATATCAAAAACAACTCCAAGAGCAAATTATGGTTTTCTAGGGCTCCTAAGTTCTAACTATCACCTTGCTCAATCAGAATATAAGATTTTCCAACATGATGTAAAATGGCACAAAAAAAATTGCAACAATGAAACAAAAGGTTTTTTCTTTTCAGTTTATACAATGTCCCCAAAAACCATATATTCAAAATTAAAACAAAAAAATCTAAATTTAGTTCTTCTGTGTTCTGACTACCAATAAACTCACTGACATAAACTTAATTCCTTAACTTCCAACAATTCCCCTAAAAAATAAATTAATTACAGAAATCCAGCATCTTTACTAAAATTCAAGAATTTAATCTACAAAAATCGAGCAAAGTAACAACATACGAAATAGAACTCAGAAGTCAAGAAAGGGTATCGAATACAGTACATTAAGCTACACCAATTCAAGCAAAAAAAAAAATACAAATAAGGGCATTTGAATTTCACAAATTACAGTTCAATAGAATAAAAAAAATACACTACACCAATCCAAGCAGAAAGCAGAAACCCAGAAATCACCCAAAGAAACACTGGAATTTCAGATCAAGAGCAGAAAAAACTTCGAATATGGGCGGAAAAAAAAAAAAGGAAAAGAGAGCAGACATTTTCACTGGCGAGCTTGATGCAATTACGAAACAACTCCATAATTTGATCACCATCAAGGCAAGAATTCGAGGGAGGAGAAGAAGGAGGAGAGAGAAGAGCATCTTCGGCGACTTTACGGCGAACAGCGGCGGCGCGTGCGGCACGTGCTTGAGCGCGTTCAAGTTTGTCGTCGTTGGATCCTAAGAAGAAGGGGCTTTTCGGAGATTGTAAGCGAGTAGAAATTGAAGCTCTTCGTTTTTGTAATGGTGGATTTGGAGTTAGGGTTTCCGCCATTGTTGAAGCTTTGAATTTGCCTTTTGGTTTTGTATTCTTGAAGAGGAGAGAGAAAAAGGGGGGAAGATGGGGTTTTTGAATTCTGGGGAAATTGAATAGTTTTTTAGTGTTGTTTGAATGTGAAGATGATGATGGAGTTGGGTCGGTAATACGGCGTCGTTTTGTCCATGTTAATTTTATAGGGGCAAAATTGTCATTTCAGCTAATAAGTTAGGGTTAATATTGTAATTTTACTTAAGAAATCAATGAATTCAAGCTAATAAGTTAGGGTTAATACGAAGTATTGTAATTTTATTTAAGAAGAATTTCACAATAGAGAAATGGAAGGGCGTTAGTGAAGAAATCGAACATGGCTTAGAGCTTCAATGGAGGAGGATTGCACAGTACACACCCTATGATTTGGGGGTTAACAATATTCTTCGTTCCTCTGTTTTCTCTTAGGTTTTCATTTACAAAAATATATTGGTAAGAGTGATGGTTTACACTTTACAAGTGCTTCAATGAAAGAGGAAAACGCAACTACACAAGTAAATTCAATAGAAGAGGAGGAAATCACAATTATTAAGAAGAAAACGATGAATAAGGAGACAAAGAAGATGGAGGAGGAAAAATATAAAATAGGAAAATTTGGATTTTGGTACCTCAAAATGGGGGTAATTGAATTTTGGTACCTATTAAATTTTTTTTTTAAATTAGTACCTCAAAAATGACATAACTGTAGCTTTCAGTACCTCCGTCCAACTTCTGTTAAGTTTTCCGTTAGTGACGCCCAGCCATGGTCATGCCACCTTCCAGCCGCCCCCTCCTCCCCCTCAGCCACTACACTGCCAGCCTCCCTCCTTGTACCTACCCAACGGCGACCACCAAGCTACAGCAGGCTGCCACCGCGAGCAGGAACGAAGCCTAGTCACAGCAGGCTACCGCCGCGGCCAGGCACGAAGCCCAGGCATAGCAGGCTGCCGCCGTGGCCAGGCACGAATTCCAACCACAGTAGGCTGCCGCCTCGGTCAGGAACGAGGGGGGAGGGAAGGCTGTGGTTGCGCTAGGGTTTCAGGGAAGAGAAAAACAGGGGTTATGAGCCCTTATGGCTGAGTTTGGAGGAGGGAAAAGGGAGGGGGTGGGGTGGTCGACGCCGGCGTCGGTGCCCGAGGAATTTGGCCACCAACAACCGGAATCTGGCACAGGGGAAGGGGTGGCAATGGCAGATGTTTTTTTTTTAGAAAAATTTGTTTTTTCTTTTTCTTTTTTTTAAAATAAATTAAATTATTAAAAAATTAGATAATGGGCCCCTTTAACGGAAAACTTAACGGAATGTAGACGGAGGTACTGAAAGCTACAGTTATGTCATTTTTGAGGTACCAATTTAAAAAAAAAAAAAGTTTAATGGGTACCAAAATTCAATTACCCCCATTTTGAGGTACCAAAATTCAAATTTTCCTATAAAATATTCATCTTTCCTTTTTTTTAAAGACATACTATTTTGAAAATACGAGAAATTGAGGGTTGCACATTAAAAAAAGAGCTAGCCCTAGTATCTCAACATGAGATACATTAATATATCTCAACATGGCATATTTGTAAATAAGAGGAACTAAATGAATTTTTTAATAATTTTTTTTTACCATTTTTTATGCTTTTTTCTTCTTCTTACCCATCTTTTTCATCCCCATCTTCTTTATGCTTCATCCCTCCTCCTCCATAAAAGTGGGTCGTGAATAAACATTGTCACCACCATATTATCAGCTGCTTCGCCGCCAATTAAACGAAAACCCTAACTATAAAGGAAGAAAAGAAACTTAACCCTTAACATGGAAGGTTTAGGTCGTCCTCCATTAAAGCCCCCTGGAGCTTTTCTATTTCTCTATTAAAATTCTTCCATTTTCGGTTGAAGTTCTTTAATGCTCCATTAAAGCCTTATCTTATAGCTTGAAAATACAAATTTATTTTTCAAAATTACAAAATTAACCCAATTGTGCACTAAAAATGACAAATATGCCCATTTGAGATACGTATCAAGTATCTCATGTTGAGAATTGAGATACTTGTATTTTCTCCATTAAAAAAGGGGGAATTAAAAATTTCCGTCAATTTAAATAGCTAGTATTTGTATGAGCTTGTTGTTTGATTGACAACAAAAGGTCAAAAATGGGGAAATTGATGAATACAACAACCAAAATGGTTTGAGATAGGCTAACATTCGTTCAAGGCGATTATCTCTACCTCCTTATTTCTCACGTCGCTAAACTTACATTCCAAATATTCCATGTTAAATCTAGTGAAACGCTAAACATCGCCCGCAATTTACCATATAAAGCCCACAAATATGATATGATTTGACTATTATGCCCTTTTTCTAAAATTGAAATAATCTCGGTGTAAAAAATGTGGAGCCGTACTGGCTCGCCGGGGGAGACCGGAGGGCAGGTCGGAGATGCGGGGGACGCCGGAGGTACGTCGTCGTCGACGGAAAACGAGGTAAGTCACCGTTAAAATTCACGGTTTACCGTCGGAGTGGCTCCGACGCCTAGGGTGGACGCCCAAACCGTAGCCTGGACGTCCAAGCCAGACGCAAGAACCACCAGAGTGGCGTCCAGCCCAGACGCCCAGACCACCAGACTGGCGTCCTGGGCAGACGCCACTCCACTGGGTGAGGCGGCCCTGCCAGGCGCCAGTCCAGTGGCTGTGGCAGCCCTGGCAGACGCCACCTTTAATAATTAATTTTTTTTTCTTTTTTGATTTTGTTGTTTTTTATTTAATTTTTTTGTAAAAAAAAAATCGAAAATGATTTTTTTTTAAAAATTCGAAATGGGTTTTTTGTAAATTAAATTTGAAAATTCGAAATAGGTTTTTTTAAAATTAAATTTGAAAATTCGAAATGGTATATTTTTAAATTTAGTTTGAAAATTCGAATTGGGTTTTTATAAAAATTAAGTTTGATTATATATAATTATTTTTTTTTTTGTGTTAATTTTGTGTAAATATAGAAATTAAATGTATTATCCGTTAAATGTATTTATTGTAATATATAATTGATGCAGGAATATGGTGGAGACGGAAATGATTACAGTGGGATATTTGGACATGATGGTCCATTCGAAGAAGCTCAACAGGCGATTGATTGGGCAAAACAGGTTGCAATTGCAGCTGGATTTTGCTTGGTAGTAGCAACTCATAAATCTCAACGGGATGGTAGAATGGATCGCATTTTGAGATGTAACCGTTATCGCAAAAGAGAAGAAAGAGATTTTCGTACAGCCACTCGGTTTGACACAAAGCGGAAAGGTTGTGGGTGTGAGTTCAGAGTAAAGGTTCGACAACTACGGAGTCGTGACGGTTGGGAAGTGATAGGTTACTCTAAATGGGGGTATCACAACCATGAGATGATAGTATATGAAGAGGGTCATCGACAACTGAGCGGCTTAAGTCCTGCTGCGAAACTAGTTGTGAAAGAAATGAGTGATGCTCAAGTGAAGCCTGCTAAAATATTAGCATCTGTGTTAGAGAAATTTCCAGAAGACCATCCAAACCGAAGACACATCTACAACGTCAGACAGCAACTCAGGTTTGAACGGTCAGAGGGAAGGAACCCTATACAGCAGCTGCTACACCAGGCACAATCACGTGGTTACCTGTTCTGGTTTGATTCTGATGAAGATACAGCGGAGGTGACTCATCTTTTCCTTGTGCATCCTGATTGTGCTGATATGATCAAGTCTTGGCCATTTGTGATTTTGATCGACTCAACGTACAAGACAAACAAGTACAAGTTCCCTCTGGTTGAGATGGTTGGGATGGCTCCAACGAACCAGAACTTTCTGATTGGTCATGCAATCATCAGGGATGAGACGGCTCCAAGTTATTATTGGGTGTTGGAGAAGCTGAGAAACTACATCGGGCCTAATGTTCATTCCAGCAGCCATCGTCAACGACTGTGAGGGAGGTCTCTTTGCCCCCATAGCAGAGCTGTTTCCCGAATCGAACCACTTATTGTGCACATGGCACATCAACAACTGCGTGAAAGTGAAAGCCTACAACCTTTTCAAGAAGAATTTGGAAATGGCAGAGAGATTGGTGAATGGTAAGTGGCGGAAGATCCTACAGGCTACCACAGAGGAAGCGTATGAGCGAGCATTGGCTAACTTCAGGGATTCGTACCAGTGGTGTCCGGCACTGGTGGACTATGTGATGCATCAACGGGTCCCTCACAGGGAAAAGTTTGTCAAATATTGGACAAACCAGGTACTTTATTTTGGGAACACTACAACATGTAGAGTTGAGAGCGCTCATAGAGCTACCAAGGACTGGATTGATTCATCGACCGCTGCTTTGGATACACTGTTCGCTAGACTGAACAAGTCAATTGAAACTCAGAAGAACGACATCAGGAACTCTCTAGAGGACTCCAGACGACGACATGGTACGATGTATAGCCATTTTATATTTAAGATTCTCCATGGTCGTGTGTCGCACTACTGCTTGGGGTTGATTCTCACTGAGCTGAACAGGGTGAGGGACTTGGCTGACGAAGTGTATGCTCGGTGTGGGTGTACTATTTCAGTAACTCATGGATTACCTTGCGCATGCACCATTCACCGCGTTATTACAGAAGAAAGGGCGTCGTTACATGTTGATCAGGTCCATTCATTCTGGAGGACGCTTGTTATTGGTGAGCATGCAGACAATCAAACGGCCGACCGTGAACAGGAGGAGTTGGAGCAGTTCCGTTCGATGTACGACCGAGTGTCCTCCAGCCATCCTTCTATTATTCGTGACGCTACTCATGTACTTCATGACATGTTCCACCCGTCTAACTTAGATTATGAGGAACCCGAATGAGTTGACCGTCCTCGAGGTCGACAACGGCGGAACAGGAGTGCGTTTGAGTATATCCGTGGTCTTGGTCGTGGTCGTTCTCGTGGTCGGACATCGTCATCTAGTCGTAGTCAATCTTCATCGTCTGTGAATATGCCCCTGAGAACTGGTACGTTTTGGTTGTTTTTATTGCACATAGTTTTAAAGTGTTACTCCTGCCTTCTTAACTGTCTATAATTATATGGTGAATAGGAAGAAACGATGTTGATCAGTTTCCGTACAAGGAAAGGATACCTGCGATCATCATGTCGTACTTGGAAGGGTGGAATGATGTAATCGGAGATGGTAACTGCGGATTCCGGGTCGTGGCTGATGTTTTTCAAATGGGCGAAGACAACTACGGTTTGGTGCGTGAGTTGATGTACAACGAAATTGCCTCTAACCGAAATGTTTATCGTCATGTGTACCAAGATGACTTGGATGGCGCTCTGCGGCGTATCCGGTGGGGAGGTGGACCTTGCGGCGAAAATCATTATTTTGACGCGCCCCTAGATCTGTTTGCCGTTGCAAACATTTACAAATGCGCAGTCATGCATTTCGGCCTGGGAGTGCATAGTCAAGCTTATTATCCTTGTACCACGGTTCTCCCTTGGCGGTCGCGTGAGACTGTCACCACACCGGTCAGAGAGCTAGCTATTGCGTTTCTTGGGTCGTCATACAGACATTTCATCCGTCTAGACATGTCAACCGATTTTCCGGTGCCACCGATTATACCTCGGTGGTACAACATTCGCACAGCGAGCGTAGAGGGTTGGGATGCGCTATATGAATGAAACACCCTAGCTGCATTTTAGTTTTTCATGTTTACATTCTTTATTTGTAATCTTATTTGTACGTTGCTCTTTTAATGAGAACATTAATATTTTATATTGTATTGCTTACTGCATTCTATATGTTGCATGGGTAAGTTGCGCGGATCCATGAACGGTTATATCAAACTTTAAAAACAGCACTGATAATATGTTTAAGTTGGAAGCTAAAAGAACAATCTAAAATGTTACAATTTTACAACATAATGTCCAACATAATGCTCTATAAATAAAATAAAATAACCATCAGTAATCCCTCCTCGACGACGACTCCCACTGCGCAAGGGTCTGTTCCAGACTATCAACAACAGCTCTCCCTGTTGCACTCATGCTGTCCTTCTCAAGAGAGAGTTTCTGTACGTCCTGCATTATCTTTCCCATCCACTGCATACAACAAAAAACAGAAGATGAAATACAATAACAACAAATAAAACTTAATTAAAAGACAACGATAAATATAATAAAAGACATACCGCTTCCGTGGCAGTAGGCGGTGGCACATAATCATCATCGCTGTGGTCGAGATCAGCGATCAACCTCGGGTGCAAATACCGGTTGAACCATTCCATGTAGTAATGGTCACACATGGGAGTAACCCCAGAGGGCGGCCGCTGCAACTCCGCAGTCCATAAGCGGGCCACCATCGGAAACTGGTCCCACGTCCCGGTCATGATATCCGGTCATTCCACGACGTAATCCCTCGACGATGCAGGTCGGACCGCCTTCATCGGGCACGCCGGGGGAGGAGGGACAACTTGGACAAATCCAAGCTGGCGAAGACAACGCTGGGGCATGTACGCCTCGACGATGTCACGATACTGAATGAGTCCCGTGTACAGGGTCCTGGGTACCCTAACACTAGGGTTCGGGCCGAAAGGCATCCAGTTCACCTGTACAATAACAACATATAAAATTTAATAACATGAATATCATATGTGCAAATAATAAAATGTAGACTCTATAAATAAACGTTACCTCTAAGGGGGACAGCCTGTCCAGCAATAACCGTATCGATCGGAGGCGGTCAACGGAATTCTTCTCCGAGCGCGGACTCCACGCACAAGCACAAGGCATCCCCTCATCAATAGGAACTGGGTCACGATGTGGTCGCAATGCAGGAAAGTACTCGTATATCCAGGTCTGCAATAGAGTCAGACACCCAGTGATACCTGCCGCGTCAGCCCGACTCGCGAATCCTAGTTGGCGATACAAATACGCCAACGTAGCCGATCCCCAGGAAAACTGGCCTACACTGTCGGGGTCACACGCCTCTACGATGTCGCGTGGCCTGAGCTTGTTTCCGCCGCTCTTATCCGGAAACAAGGTACATCCGAGGAGTAGAAAAACATAAGCACTCAGCTGTGCGTCGGGCGTCCTACGTGCACTCGGGTACAAACACCGCTGTAACACGGATGCGATCTTCACACCTCCGTGTTCCCAAACACCTAGCGCCTCGGTGTATAGTGCAGCCCTGTCCACCGCCAACAACTCCGCCAGCGAATCTGCCTGATCCGCATCAGCCACATCACAAAGTCGTTTACCCTCAACACGAATCCCCAGAATGGCCTAGACGTCATGTAACATGATCGTCATCTCACCGAACGGAAGGTGGAAAGAGTTTGTATCCGGCTGCCATCGCTCAATGAAAGCCGTGATCAGCGTACTGTCAATCTTATCGTGCATGGTGGCAGGAACGTGCTTCACCCCAGTGCCCTCCAGTCGCTCGAACATCTCGCTCTCCGCCGGCCAGGCCTCAGCCTATGTACGCAAAAAGCTACAAGTCTTTTCCCGGGTATGACATTTCAACAACCCCGTAACTGAAGGCCTCTCCTGGTCCTCCCAAATACGGGCAGCTATGTGTCCTAGAAAGCTAGGAATCACACTCCCGTCAACAGGCCCACCGGGCACCTCACTCCTAACAACCCAAGAATCATTACCGGCCCTCGACCGTTTCCTGCTTGCCCCAGATACAGTGGACGCAGATGATGTGCCAGATCTACTAACAAACATACCCTTACGCACCTCCACCATATGCGTCTCGTACATGTCATCAACCCTCTGACTGAATGGACCGTAATCATCATACGGTCAACTGCCTCGTCCACATCCTCATCCTCATCTGCGCCCTCCTCCTGCTCCTCCTCCTGGTCACCCTCCTCAGCATCATCATCGTCATCGTCATCCTCATCCCGACGGTGGATCCGTTCTCTACGAACTGAGGCCGAAATACCACGGGATCTGACATGTCTATGCCCCGACCTCTCCACTGAATAACTTCTACTAAGAAGCTCTATATTCTTCCCCGCACCATGACGACCCAGTGAATTCTACACAAAATTTTAAAATATATAAACATACAAAAATTTATACGATAAATAATCATCATCGCAAATCAAATAAACTAAAAACATACAAATAATTGTAAACAAAATATAAACGTAGAAAAAATACAACGAAATTGAAAAAATTTATAAAAATAAACAACAACATATAAAAACAATTCAAAATTATATTACAAAAAAAAAAAAAAATTAAAAACATTTTTTTAAAAAAATAATAAAAAAAAAATGGGGGGGGGGGCGCCCTGGCTGGACGCCCAGCCAGCGGTGGTGGCGCCAGCTGCAGACGCCGCCACCAGTTGGCTGGCGCCTGGGCTGGACGCCACAGCCACGGCTGCGGCGCCTTGAATAAACGCCACAACCGTGGATGTGGCGTCCAGCCCAGGCGCCAGCCAACTGGTGGCGGCGTCTGCAGCTGGCGCCACCACCGCTGGCTGGGCGTCCAGCTAGGGCGCCCCACCGCGGTCACGGCGGTTTTTCTCTTTTTTTTTTATACAAAATGTACCTTTCCTCCTTGGGACATCCTTCCCTCCGCCGCCGCCGCCAATTCCTTGCCTTGCCGCCTCGACATTGCCGTTATTTGATTTTTTTTTTTAGAGAGGTTGAAAGAAGATGAGCAATGAGAGTGTGAGTGATGAGAGTGTGAGTGATGAGAGTGTGAGTGTTTTTTTTAAGGTCAAGGGCAATTTTGGCAAACCAAGTGAATTTTGTGGGCTTTATGTAGTAATTTGTGGGCGATGTTTAACAAATCCCTAAATCTACGCACCTTCAAACCACAAGATTCCAAAGTTGTCTCATAAGATGAATTACCTCCATAGTATCTTCGAGGCTTAATCCAAATTGATTTTTCAAAATCTTCACACTTCTCCTAAACCTTGTTAATGATATTGAAAATCAAAGGTAAATTTTGAAAACCGTTCAAATTCAAAACAAAAAATCTGGACACAGCTTGAATAGACACAATCTGTCCATCTTGTTTATTGACAGAGCACAGCTTTAATAGAGAGATAGGTAATCCACAAAAACAACTTCTTCTCCATTGACATTCTAAATTGAAAATTATGCAAGTATAATTTGGGCCATGCTTTTTTTTCTTTGAAGAGAAAACTAGGCACGCACACAATCGAATACAACAACTTTCTTTATCTACAACTTTTTCCAAGATCCAAAACAGAAAATATAGATACATATGGTTAACTCTGGACTAAATTGGCAGTCCTAAAAAAATTGGTGAAACTGGAAAATTTCAATATGATGGCACTAATACTATCTACTATATATATGACAAATGTTGAGGAGGGATTGCGATTTCGTACAGCTGTGTTTGATCAACAGGATAACAAAACTGACGACAGTTTTGCTGCTTGAGCTTGACTGTCCATCAAACTGTAAAAAATGCCCATGCTGCTCAAACTCTTACAGTCGCCACAGGATTAGGAATGGAAGTCGGTTTTTAGAGCATCTATCTGTAAAATTTCATAAGGTAAGCAACAACACAGCCCAATATAGCACCTGCTCCAACCTGCATTGGCATGATAAAAATTCAAAATACATTCTCCAACTCAACCAAATTTTAAACTCCAATATCTCTTTATAAATCCGATTGCAAGTAACATATTTAAACAATTAAAAAGCATGTGTTGAGGCACCTAGAAAATACATTCAACATACAAGATAGTATGACGAGGAATTCTGATTTTGAAATGTTTGGAGATTTTGAGCAATATGATAAAGGTTATTCTTGAAATTCCAGCTTATAATAAACTTATCATATTTGAACAAGGCAACTTAAGGGCTTTAAAACCTTTGCCACCACTCACCAGTCACCACTGCCAAAATGCCTATATCAAATAGATTGAACAAATATCAGACATTGGATTCTCTTTGCACTATTTAACAATTACAGGAAAATTGCCACTATAAAATTTCCAGCAGATGCATTATCCATCGTGAATGAGAAAATCTAGACAGATTTTATAATTATGGAAAACATGCCAACGCACAAATTATAAAAGGTATCATAAAAGCTCAACAAACCTGTAGAGGAGTATGACCCAATGAGTCTCGCAGAGGTTTACAATTAGAAAGAGGATGTTCAGGAGGCAGCTCACAAACCATTTGATTCAATAACTGCAACAAAGAAACAAGCATCACCAAATTTGGAAAGAAGAACACCAAAGAAATGTATTACTAAACTGAAAATGAGAATTCTTTGTACTTCTCCGTTTTTTTAGTTGCATCACTTTTGTTTTCACGGACTCCTATGCAATTTTTGAAGTAAATTGAGGTAGAGAGAAAAAATAAATGGGGTCCATGTGGTAGGAGAGAATTTATTAATTAAAAAGGAAAGTGATGCAACTAATTTAAAAAAATGGAGGAAGTATTAGAGGTTTCCTAGAGTCTTTCTCAATCTCCACTACGAAAAAGCTTACAATTTCTAAGAAAATTGTATACAAATAGAGTATCTCCAAATCCAAGCCAACTTACTTGAGCTTGCTGACCAGCATGAAGTCTCACACCAGAGGCATCATACATCACCTGCCAAGCAGAAAGCAAAAGCTCATTACAACACGTATATTTACCTTGTTGAAAAGTAAGTGATACAAGACATGTTAGTGCATCAAATCTGACAAGCATTAGTGAGTACTGACAGCCAAATCCCTACCTAAATCCTTATACATGTATAGAAACAATTTATTTCCATGCTAAAACATGAAAGGGGGAAATGTTTAAGTTATTAGTCAATCTTGGGGAAAAAATGCCTGACTGTAGCCTACAAATGACACTTTTAGGCCATGCTTGGATTTAGGGTAGAATATTAAGGGTAGGGGTGAAAGTTCGGTTTTCGGTTTGGTTTTTTGCCCAAACCGAAACCGAACCACTCTAATTCGGTTTCTGGATTTTAGAAACCACACCGCACCTCTTTACTTTCAAAACCGAACCAAACCAAACCATTATTATTTCGGTTTCATAAAAAAAAAACCGAACCAAACCAAATTTTCTTATCAAGTACCATAAACATCAAATTTTGCAAAAAAAAAAAAACCAAATCAAACCACACCAATCAAAACCGAACCAAACAAAACCAATCCATACAAACATAATTAAACAAGTTTTCTAACATGATAAGAAAAAATTGAATAAAAAGTGCCGAAATATCAGAAAAATATTTGGACATAAATTAGAAGTTTAGCATAAATTAGTAGAAAAAAAAAAACTCAAACCAAATTAAAAGAAAGAAAAAAAGGGCATACCTCACATTCCATCGAAAAAACATCGAATTTGGCTTTTAAAGGTCAAATTCGACCATGAAAACTCTAGATCTAGAGTTTTCATGGTCGAATTTGACATGAAAAACCTTTAGTTGATGGTGTTAAATCAAAACCTCGAATTTAGTAGATGGTTTTCGTAGATGGTGAAGGAGGGCGAATTTGAAAGCAAATTCGTGATGTATTCGTTAATGGTGGCGAGGAGAAAGACAAGAAAAAGGTTGATGGTGTTCGTAGATAGTGAAGGCGAGAAACGAAGAAGAGGAGAGGAGAGAGAATGGACGGAATCCTCAAGAGGAGAAGAGGAAAGGAGAGAGAAAGGGTGGGGGAGAGAGTGTTAGGTTTTTTTTTTTTGCATTAAATACCTAGGGTAATTTAGAGTTGGGCTAGGGTTTAATTGGATTGGGCCTATATTTCGGTGTGGTTCGGTTTTGTTCGGTTTTTCATTTTCGCAAACCGAAATCGAACCACACACCGAATTTTTTTTTTTTTAAAAAACCGAAACCGAACCACTCCCGAAAAAAACCGAACCAAATTTCTTATTCGGTTCGGTTTTCGGTTTGGTTCGGTTTTAAACCGAGTTTGTTTCACCCCTAATTAAGGGGACAATAAAAGTCAAACTTAAAAAACATAAGTAATTAGAGGTGGTGTTGTAGGAGACAAAGTGTTTACAAATGAAATAAGGTAGTTATGTCATGAGGGCAATAGTTACCCACCCTCCCCCTAGTGTAACTATTACCCCAAAATGAGGGTAATACTATAATAGTTACTCTTTCTTCACCTCTTACCACACACCATCACTACATAATTATCCTTACAATCACACCATCACTATCTCATCCTTCCTTTATATTCACTTTCATTTTACTTAGTTTGACTTTATTGCCTTAGTAATACATCTCCCTCGATCTATGCATGCTTTAGCACAAAAAAACAATGCTGTATAATTCAGACATGTGAGAACAAATATATGTTTTAGCAGTATATTTTGTGATTTTACTGCTGTTGAATTCAAAATCCAAATTTGATTTATCATCCAATCACACCTCGTTGTTCATGCAACTTAATTATATGTGCCTTCTTTCAAAAGTGAAATAAAACTATCTTACCAAATATTAAAAATGTAATCTTGATGAATATGCATTTGATTTGGCTTCATGCTCAAACACATATCATAAATGGTTTTTTCTATAGATAAATATTCACTTGACTAGGCTTCAGGCTTTCTAACATTACATATTATAATGTTTCTAAGAGAACTAAGGGCCTGTTCTCATTAACTGTACTCAACTGAGTTGAACTGAAATGAATATTTTATAAGAGAAGGAAATTAGGAGCTGAACTAAACTGAGCTTAACTGAATTTCAACGTATGAGAACAGGCCCTAAGTTAGGCATTTTTTCTTGGGCTATAACCCCTAATCCTTGTTCCCATATCCTAGTTGTCTCCCTCATCTTGTCAAAAACGAGTGGTTTGATCTATAAATAAAAAAAAAGCATGTTTTATGACAGCTGAGGGAAGGAGGGAAAAACATCTATAAATGAAGAAAGAGTATTATCCCTTCCTTTACAATCCTTTCCTTTTCTTCCCATTCCCAATTCTTTTCCATTCCTTCAACTAAAGCCAAACATACCTCAGCTGAATATCCTAAAATGTCAAACCAAAAAATTATATAAAAAAAAAAAGGCTCCTCCAAGTCTCCAACATGAAGGTATGTGAAAGAATTATATATCAAAAGGAAAAGCATGAGAAATTACCGAGCTAAAGTTGGCTATTCCTACTATTTAAGAATCTTAAAATTGTTGAGGCAATTGGCTTAAGACAATGAAAGTTAAACTTGAAGAATGAATCAGCATGCATCCAAATATGAGTCTTGCCAAGTGCTTCAAAAGTTTCAGTTTTTACTTTGAAGTGATCAGTATAATATCAATGGATTGAACTATCATTATTAGTTATCTGTTTTAAGTAAAAACAATACTCTTACAGAAGCAACAAGCACTGCATTCATCAGACAATCCAAAAATTATAAGCAGCATCCCATAAAGGATAGTGTGAAGTACATCTGGTTAAGAAGTACATACAACGCAAGCCAAAACGACAGCTAGAGCAAATGCCGATCCACCTGTTCCTTCTTGCACACCAATTGCCACGGCAAGAGCTGACACGCCTGCTGAATGCGATGATGGCATGCCGCCAGAACTTAGCATCCTTCTAGAATCCCATTTCTTTTCTTTGAACCTGTCAATTTAAAAATTATATATTGCAAAAGGAAGAAACTTGAGATAGGGATTCAAAGAAGATATGTTCAAAAGCACAAATTATAAGGACTTGTCAACCAATGGGTATCATGCAAATATTCTAACAACAAAATATTCAAGATCCTTGAAACACTAACAATATCAAAACTGCTTATATAATACATTACTCCATAGTCCATACCTATCACAATACACCTCAGAAACAATTGTAACACCGAAAAGGGCAAAAACCGCAAGAGGTGTTACAGGAGACATTTGCACATAACCTAAGTAGATTACAACTGAAAAAAAATATATATAACTCAAATGCATAACAAAACATGCATAACTAATTATAAATGCTAAACAAAAGATCGCAACTTTGACTAAAATCTAACATTAAAACCATCGAAAACAATCAAATCCAATGAAACTCTAAATTAAACAATCAACAAAACCCAATTCACACAAATACATGATAATCATGATCTATACATTAAAGTAGCTAAAAATGTAATCAAATCAACAAAATCCCACATCAAAATTCAAACAAATTTATAAACCCTAATCACAAACAACACAAAATCAAACCCAATTGACCTAGAATGCAACAACCCCACATGATCCAAACCCTTCAAACAGTACAAAATGCAATGAAATCAAACAATTTAATAGATTGAAAGAGAAATTGGGGATAGAAAATTACCAAGAGGTAAAGATCTTAAGAAATTGAGCAAGAGAAATAGCAAGAAGAGCAGAAACAAGAGGGAAATTAGGAGGGAACATTAACAATTGATCTGAGGAATTTGAACTTGCTATTAATGCGTCTATATTTCTTCCTGTCATCACCTCCAACTTTCTTCTTCTGCTACTTCTTGTTCGGTTAATCCACCAGCAGCAGCAACCCCAAGAAGAGAGAGAAAGAAGGGGATGAGAGAGAAAGACGTTTTTTTAGTGAATTTTTTTTTTGTTTGTTTGTTTTGGGTATGGTTTGAATGTTTGATGGGAAGAAAATGGAAAATTGGGGAGTTTCAATTGGTTAGACTCAGAAGTCAGAAGGTGAAGGTATCTTCTTTGGTGCTACCGTGCTATAGCTCATTGTCTGAGTTTCGTAATACACTTGTACACTGTTCGAATATACAAGTATAAGCCAATCTAAATTAGTTGAGTTGGTTAAAATTTCGTGTGATATGAGGGTTACTTATGACTATGTTTAATCGGGTTGATGATTTAATTACGAGTTGGGACACTTGAGAGTTGAGATGCATATGTTTCCAGTTGGAAACAAAACAAGTTCATTTGTTTAATACTCTATACTAAAGGCTTGTTTACTTGACCTTATTAAAATAAATTTCAGATCTAATAAGTTCAAATAAATTACAATAATGTCTAATAAGTTCAATAAGGTTTTATAAATTTCAATAGGTTAAATAAGTTCTAATCAGGTCTAATCCAATAACTTCTAATAAATTCAATCAGGTCTTATAAGTTTCAATAAAGTTCATTAAAATCTGACAAGTTTAATAAGGTCTTTATCTGAACCTATTAAACTTATTTTCATTGTATTTGAACTTGGGTAACCTTTATTAGAATTATACTTCGTATTTTTTTTTTCTTGAACTGAACTTATTATACATAAAATAAGTGAAAATAAGGTGAACATAACATATCATTAGAGACTAGTGAGTTCTCTTAAAACCCGGATCACACACTAGTTATAAATTTGAATTGTGAGTAAAACTCACTAAACAATTTCTCCAAAAATGTGGAATATTCAAGCAATATGTGTTATGGAGTGTGGACTTATGGTGTGAGAGATATCCCACAACCGTAATTCTGATAAAAGAATGTTTTTGAGTGTACTCTATTAATGGTAGGGAGGGTGACAATTTAGTACTTGAAAGGCTAGACAAAGGCTATGCAAATACTCCTTGGCTTACGAAATTTCCGCATGCCCATATTGTTTTCCTACCAATTCAACTCTCAGATCATGCGCCAATCTTATTTCATACTACCCAAAATATAAAAAAGAAGAGAAGTGCTTATAAAATAGAACAATGGAGTCTAGATTACAATGAGTGTATCCAAGCTGCCCAGAGTACTTGGAATGCACATCAAAATGGCTCCCCTATGTTTAGACTTGTTAAAAAAATACAAAAGGCCAAACGAGTAATCAAGAAATGGTCCTTAGAGGAATGGAATGGAGAATGGGATCAGTTTGAAAAGGATATCTTGGAAGCGCAACTCATTCTAGAAAATGAAGGAAAGGAGGAGGAATTTATTAAAGCCAGCAAGCGGTTAGAGGAATACTCCAGGAATTTGGCTACTTATTGGAGGCAGAGAGCGAAGATTAATTGGGATTATGCAGGGGACACGTGCTCTCGATATTTTTTCAACTTTGTTAAAGGAAGAAGGGCTCGTAATAAGCTAGAGGCAATCAAAGACGAGCAGGGGGCTTGGGTTACAGGGGAGCAGGACATAGCGAACATAGCTGGAAGCTACTTCAAGGATTTATATGGGTGTAACTCCTCAATTCACTCACAAGACACGCAGCAGAGGAGTTTAGAAATTCAACAAGTGCTAAGGGGTATTAAGACCACGCTCACAGAAGACCAAAGGGATCTCCTGTCCAAACCTTACACAAGAAGTGAAGTGAGAGATGCGCTTTTCGCTATGAAACCGTGGAAAGCACCCGGGCCGGATGGTGTACCAGCAGGCTTTGGATGCAAGATGACATCACTGAGGCTGTGTTGTCCAGCCTCACATCAGGTAACATCCTTCGCCAAGTAAACTGCACAAATATTTCCTTAATTCCCAAGTGTGACAATCCCGAAACCATAAATAAATTAAGGCCAATTGGGTTGTGTAATGTTGTTTACAAAATTATCTCTAAATGTATCACTAATAGGCTAAGGAAAATTATTAATGGTTTAGTGAGTCACTTTCAAAACGCTTTCGTCCCGGGAAGGGCTATCTCGGATAATATCCTTCTAGCACATGAATTGCTAGAAAATATCAGGAATTCAAAAATAGGAAAAACAGGGAAATTAGTGTTAAAAATGTAATCGAGAAAAATCTAATTAGTAAAATCTACAATTAGCTAGATATTTCTAGAATAACCTAGTGTCTTAAGAGAAATCTAGAGAAAGCTAGTAGATAGGAGTAGAGTAGTATGTCAGTGAAGGAGCATGTAAACCGACCTACACCACTATAAATACTTGCACTTGGCCATGTAAATGTAAGCTATCCCCATGCAATAATACTTCAAATTTTATCCCACACTACTTCCACTCACCTAAATTCTAACATTTGGTATCAAGAGCCACAAATTCCCAAAGCCTTCCTACAATATCATACACATATTAGCCCAAACACAACATAATATATAATGGCCAATAACAATGTAAGTTTTCCCATTCCAATTTTTGGGGGAGAAAGTTATGATTTTTGGAAGATCAAAATGAAGACAATGTTACGATCATATGGACTATGGAGTTATGCCGACAAAGGCTATAACGAACCTGAAGATGAAAGCAGTCTAAGTGATGCTCAAAGGAAGAGACTTGAGGAGGAAAGGATGAAGGATGCAAAGGCATTATATCTCATACAAAATGCAGTGAAATATACCATTTTTCCAAGAATTATGAGGGCTAATACAGCAAAGGAGGCATGGGAGATTCTACAACAAGAGTTCCAGGGAGATAGCAAGGTGAGAAGTATCAAACTTCAATCTTTAAGAAGAGATTTTGAAAATTTAAAGATGAAAGATAATGAGTTGGTTAAAAATTATTTTTCAAGAGTTATTGAGATTGTTAATCAAATGAAATCATATGGAGAAGAAATTTCGAATGAAAAAATTGTGAAGAAAATTCTAGTATCATTAAATGACAAATTTGATAATATAGTTACAATAATTGAAGAAACAAAAGATTTATCCAACATAACTATTGAACAACTTATGGGATCTCTGGAGTCCCATGAACAAAGAAAAATCGTCAAAGTAATGATGAAGACATGATGGAGACCGTGCTTGCAGCAAAATTTTTCCTTAAACTAGGAGAAATCAAGAGAAATGGGTCCATGAAGAAGGCCGAGGGTGAAGATGAAGAAGATTCACCAAAATACAAAGGTATGGAGAATAAATTATTTTGTAAAATTTGTAAGAGAACTAACCATGATAGTGCAAATTGCTACTTCAAAGGGAAAGCACAATGTTGGATATGCAAAAAATTCGGCCATGTTGGAAAGAATTGCAGGTTCAAGAAAGCTGATGTGGAAATTGCTAATTTTGGCAAGGAAGATAATGAAGAAAGCTTATTCTGAAGAAGAAAATAAAGAGGTTGCTAATGACAAGTACATTAGCAGAAATATTTGGTGACATGAGCACTAAAATTAGAAGGAAAAATAAAGGAAATACATTCGAAAGGAGAATTTGGGAGATATGGTGACACGAGCATCAGATCAGTTAGAAAGATGGTAACACGAGTACCAAAATTAAACAACAAAATTAAGGTTGGTAACATGAGTATCAACACAATGACAAGAAGAAAAGTCAAGATTAGAACACTACAACAAATTGGCCTTTGTGCCACGGGTAAAATCGTGGCACAAGTTTAAAATTTCCGTGGCTATGCAATTTAGCCACGGGAATTTTAAAATTTACCCCCGTAGCACAAGAGGCCGTGGCTAGTAATTTGCTACGGGAAAATGGATGTCGTGGCAAATTTTGATATTTATGCCACGAGTATTCCCGTGGCAAAGAAATTCTCTAGCCACAAACACTAATGCGGGCTAACAAATTATTTGCCACACATTCTACCGTGGCTAAAAAACTTTGTTTAGACAAATATTATTGTAGCTAATAATTTCTTTTCTCAAATTTTACTGTGGGTAGTGAACTTTGTTGCCATATATATTATTGTGGCCAATAAGGCTTAAAATAATTTTTAAAAAAAAAATTGAATTTGTATTAATTTAACTTAGTGCAGAAACACAATAACACATACATATACACAAAAGTTACAAAAATATGTAATTTGTGTTTGTAACACACTAAAAATTAGATTATTACAATCTACAACTATGTTCGTGAACTCTTTAACTTAACATAATCTGTTGTGCTGATATTGATAAGGCAAGAACGCATCAATTCGTTGCTGCTGTGTGGAGTGTCCAACCAGTCTAGGGGATCTCACATATGTGAGCATTTTAATGAATTATAATGTGCTGCAGGATGACACTGAGCCCTTCTGACTCGTCATTGAAGTCCTATAACATCAAACAAAAAAATGTGTTAGCCCATTTGAATATCAATTGTAGCTCTTAAAGCAACCAACGACTATGCAAGGGATTTATAACAAAGATAGCCGCCTTTATAGTGAAAGGCCGACAGTAAAAGATGCAGCATCAGCATCGACTACATCAGCAACAATAACTGCAGTGGCTAGCTTGGCTGGATTAGCAGTGACAATGTTATGCATTCGCAATGATTGATTCTGTTATAAAGTGAGAATAAATAAAATCACTATTATAAGTTTAACTCAAGCAGCAGCAAGAGGAGAAGACTGCAGGGTAGCAAGTAGTGAAAGGACAAAGGCAGCAGCAGCTAGTAAGGGGAAGAAAGATAGTAGAGCAGTAGGCAAGGGAGGTGGAAAGGCAATAGCAGCCAGTAGGAGAAAAAAGAAAATGAAAAAGAATTAGATTACAGTCCAAGACTCCAAGTGAAACTTAAATTTACTATCATAGGACAAAAACTCTCCCATATTTTGTAGCAAATGTTCGTCAAAATTAACAATAATATATACAAACCAATATAAATAAATGTATCAGCAAAATATACCCAGCAACAACAAAGCTCAGAAGACAATCTATAAGGCAATGGGGCATAATCATAAAGCCAGACAACATCACAAGACTGAAGCACAAGAAAAAAAAAATTTATAAAGCAAGTTGTCCTTCAACTTTCACAGATTTCTTAATCTCATCCCAGGTCCTTAGAATTATTTTTATATACAGGGGATGCATGCAATACTGCAATGACAGTTATTCAGATGGTAGCATAATAATTAAGTTTTTATACATCATAACAAGCAGTATGAAATGAAACAAACTGAGTTAGAACAATGCCTTTCTTTTTTCAGTCAACCTGTAAAGATTTAAAATCATACAACCTTTCCATAAGGATATCACTGTCCATTCCTTTCCAGAAAGAACATCCTTTCTTATACAACAAATTACCCCATGATAAGCTTACCTGATAAACGTTTTTACCCCCTACATACCAATAATTTTTTACTGTCTTAAACAAAAAAAGCAGAAAACAATCACTTTGATTGCAAGATTTGCAACTTAGGAGGAAACATTCGAAGAAAGTGTATGCAAACCATCACATATTCTAGAAAAACAAGTCAACCTCAAAGCAATTCAAGCCTATGAGTATACGACAGTGGACAAATTCAACAAAGTCCAACCTTTGAATTGCATATTCACAATGCATAACTATTACAGGAGGACCCTAATTCAACAAGAATGTAAAAAACAATCGAATAAAAGCGAGCTGCAACAGATGATAAACCAAATAACTTAAACCATTACTGTGATTTAGCAATAGAAATTTAAACCTTTTTTTTTTGCAAGTAAAAAACATCAATACAAAAATATAACAACCCAATAATAATAACTAGTAAGCTCATAATTCATGCCCACCCAAATTCCAAATTTCATCAACAACATATAAATTTCAGTAACACTAAAAAAAATAGCAAACTTGCAAACAAATATACACCAATTTGATATAAAACCCAGAAATAATACTAAATTTAATACAATTTATGACCTTTCCTACATCCCTAATGCCCAATTTCATCAAAACCCAAGTAAACCCACTTTGAAAAATTAATAAAAAAAATAATAAAAATGATAAAAATTGTACCCTGAGGAGAAGGTGAAACTTGAGGTATAAGGGTGAAAGACCGCCGTTTATTAGTGGAGTAAGCGGCCGTAGGATCAGTGTGATAATCAAATCGCAGCGGCGGAGAAGCATTTGCTGCGGAAGCGTCGGAATCCCGAGCCCCGGACCCACCCACGCCGTTGCGAACCCAACCCATCCAGCCCTAACCCCCCACCTCTGCCTCCGTCGGCGAAAACTTAGCCTCACCCAGCCCTGTCTCCGTCGGCGAAAACAACATCAATTGTTGCATCTAATCGCATTGCTCTTAGTCTCTCTCTCCTCTTCTCTGATTTCTCCATGATAATGGAAGATGATGGAGATTTTAGGGCGGAAGTATACGAATTTTGGGTGACAATTGGGGGTTTTGAGTTTTGGATGATTGAGATGCCTAATTGATTGAGAAATTGGAGGTTTTACGAGTTTAATAAGAAATTGGGGGTTCACGGGTTTCACGGTTACGTTATTTAACTTTCAATTTTTATAAATTTGTTTTCATATTTTTTTTTAAGTTCAAAATGTTTATAAATTCACTTTTTTTTTTAAATAGTCATAAATTCACTTAAATTGACCTCAAATATGCCTATTTAAAATTAAATTCACTTAAATTGACCTAATATCAACATAAATTACCAAAATAATACCTATTTTAAATTAATTACCTAAACAATACGAGTAGCTATTACCTATTTAGAATTAATTAACATTTTGTTTCAAAAAAAAAATTAGAATTTGAGCGGAAAATCTTTTCATGAGATAACGAGAAAATTTGTTCTAAAAAAAACGAGAAAATTATTACTTAGGACAGTTGTCTAAATTTACCACGGAAAAAACTAATCGTGACAAAATTGTAAAGTTTGTCACGAGAAAAGAGCTACTCGTTGCACAAAAGTAAAGTTCGCCACGGGAAAAGCGCTATTCGTGGCACAAGTGTGATATTTGCCACGGGAAAATAAGTACCCGTGGCAAAAAATAATTCTTCTTATTTAGGTTTGTATCGTAGTTCATTTTTCCCGTTGCTAGATGAAATTATGCCACGAATTTGGAATTCCCGTGGCATAATACGTGGCACAAGTGGTGATTTGTTGTAGTGGAAGTTGTCGGTGACAACAAGAAGAAATAACATCAGAGGTCGTTGGTGACAAGAGCATCAACAAAACCGAAAGAATATTTTGAGAAGATGACGTACAGTTTGGAGTACAAGATTTTTCAGATTAAGGGGAAGTGTTAAAAATGTAATCTAGAAAAATCTAATTAAATTAGCTAGATATTTCTAGAATAGCCTAATGTCTTAAAGAGAAATCTAGAGAAAGCTAGTAGATAGGAGTAGAGTAGTATGTCGGTGAAGGAGCATGTAAACCGACCTACACCACTATAAATACTTGCACTTGGCCATGTAAATGTAAGCTATCCCCATGCAATAATACTTCAAATTTTATCCCACCACTACTTCCACTCACCTAAATTCTAACAATTAGCAATCAAGACAGACATGAGCAAAGCGTATGATCGGATTAAATGGGATTTTCTTGAGTGTGCTCTTATTAAGTTTGGGTTGCCGGATCTCATGATCAAAACGTGAGAACGGTGTCCTTCTCTGTGATCATAAATGGTTCACCACAGGATAGATTCCAACCTAAATGTGGACTACGGCAAGGGGATCCCCTATCCCCGTATCTCTTTATTTTGTGCATGGAATGTCTCTCTGGGCTAATTAGAGATGAAGAAGCAAGAGGTAACATCACTGGAATCAGCATAGCACGTAATGCTCCTAAAATTAGCCACCTTTTCTTCGCGGATGACTCGGCTTTTTTTTTATCAAAGGAGAGGAGAATAATGTTTTGACCTTAAAAACATTACTAGATAAATATTGCAAAGCCTTTGGCCAGATGATAAATAAAGACAAGTCAGTTTTTTTAGTCAGCCCCAATTCGAAGGAAGAGGACATCATTAAGTATAGCGAATTCTTGGTATTACTAGAAGCAACAGCTTTGGCACGTATTTGGGTATACCTTCTGATTTTGGTGTCTCGAAGCAGCAAATTTTTTGCAAAGAAGTCGACAAAGTTAAAG